AGGTGGCCTCCATCAGCGCAGTAATGCGGGGGCCAGTAGAGCAGGAAAGGAGGCCGGCAAGACAGGACTCAGCTGCTGGCGCCCACGTGTTTGGGAGGCAACAAGAGATGCATAAAGTTTTGCTGAGTAACAGTGAGAACCCCATGTGGAGAATAGTTGCATCCAGTGATGCTTAAGGACATGGTCCTTTGACCCAGACTACCCAGGTTTCAGTTTGAATCCCAGAACCCTCCGTTTGAAAAGTGGTAAGAATTAATTAGGTCATTTACATAAAACACTTAGAAGAGTGCCTGGCACATTAGTAAACATTCAGTAAGTATTAGATATCACTATTATTGTTATTGCTATTCAGTTGTGGTGGAACTGCTCCAAGAATCTTGGGATTTTCCTAAAGAAACATGAGGCCACCTGGGACAACCAAAGCTGGAGCCTCGTCACAGTCATATGAGGCAGGAGCCCTCCGAAGGCTGATGGCTGGCCCGGCAGGCACTATGGGAGGTCACAAGATGAGGGAATCTGGGTTCCCCACTAGGAGTATAGAAAAGCCCAGGAGAAAGGTGAGACATCTCAGCTTGAGCTCCTAGCTGAGGAAACGCTCAGGGTGATAAGACCAAAAGCGTTGCCAGAAGAATCATGGCCACCGTCTGAGCATCCATCCCACTCCTTTGACAAAATCTGGCTGAGCACCTATTATGTGCCAGCCACTCTTCTAATGCCGTGTGTACACAGTCAACACAACACACAAACATCGCTGTCTTCATGGAACCCACCTTCTAGTGGGAAGGCTAGCAACTGTCCAGCTCTTCCCTAAACTCCTTTCTCACATTATTGCCTTAATCTTCTTGACAAATCAATTAGCAATTTCATTTTTTAGACAAAAAAATACAATTGTGCTGCCAGTCAAACAGCTGATAAATTGCAAAACCCGGTTTCCAACACTGATCTAATTCTCATGTTCAGGCTTGAAAAACTGTCCTGTATTTCATCTCTGTGCTGCTCACTGATTTTGGCAGGTGACGAGGAAAGCCTTAAGTGTTGAGGGCTGAGGACCTGTAAAGTCAAAATGTTGGG